GCGGCACGACAGCACGTTTTATGTATTATTTTAGACTTCCACTCATGGTCGCTGAAGACCTACACCAGTACAAACTTTGTATAGTAAAAAGGTACAGCAATCGGATTTACTTTTTGTCGGAGAGACCGGCGAATCGGACACAATTTTCCCTATTTTTTTTTTTTTTTTTTTTTGTATTTGCACGCAGGTAACAGCGAAATTGGGCCCTGTTAGTCTTTTTATCTAGCATAACATTACACCAGATCTGGCTTACCAAAATCTGCGCATCTGCGCTTGAAATTTCCAAAATGACGCGATTTTAAACAGAGTTTGTCCGCCAGCCGGATGCTAGCTACAGCCCACCCGGCGGAGCGGACGACACGCGGGGTGAGAGTGGGAGGGCATTGTTTTCTCTCTATCACCCTCTCTGCTATGACCTAATGAAACGGTCTATACAGTGGCCAATGTGACTCGGTTGTCTCCTCCCCGAGAGCGATTGCGCTCTGGGGAAAGGACTTTAGCATAAAAAACAATAGTAGGTAAAATAAAAAAAAAAGCTACCCTTTATTTGCTTTTTAAATATACTATGGTTCCTGGAGAAACTGCCCTCCGTGGCGCGCTGGGATGAGCGCTAGAAGGTTTCGGGCTCGCCACGGCGTAGCTCCGTACACGTAACACCTGCCGCAAGTCGCGGCTTTGACTGCATTCAATTTGATCGAAAAGCGATTTCTCTGCCCGTGAAGCATCACTTCCAGCTGAGTGAATATCCGCTCTACAGAGATTAATTCAAGGCGGTAATTGCAGCCGTGCGCAAACAGCACAGACAGAAAAAAAAAAAAAAAAAAAAGAAAAACAGACACTACAATAGAAATACAGGCTACGACTTGCCTTGCAGGGAAACAAACTCAAATGGCTTCGAACCGCATTGGAGCGGTTTGATTTAGAGGCTTCCAAATAATTAAAAGGATATTCATCCCCTGACCCATTCAAAATACTTTCAGATGTATGACACTGCTGGGAAAAAACCAAGACGCTGGGATCTTTTTTTATTGCTCAAGTACTCACCGACAAATTAGTACGTGCAAAACGACCAGTATAAAAGACGGAAACACAGTGTTCAGGCTAGTGTGCCGTTGTGTTGATGTTTGTGTGTGCAATATATGTGTATTCGCTCAATGTATCCTCGATTGATGCTTGTAGTGTGCGTAATGTGTCTGCATGTGTGTGTAGTAGAGGTTCCCGAAGATTCCGAAGCGTAATGGTAGCCCGAGGAAATAAAAATATTTTTTTTCTAGAACATGAATTGGGCGGTACCTAGCGCCATCTAGCCTAGCTACTTGCAATTACTCTGCTTGATCCTGCCAGCTGGTGTCAAGCGATTTAACCTTCTTTGACGCTACGCGATAAACAGCGGCTTCGAGGTTGTTCTTTTGACAGCGGCTTTTGGTTTCGCGGGTTGGTTTTCCACTCCTTCGTGATCTGCGGTTGACGAAGGAATTGTGACTCGAGGAACAGCAAAGGTAAGACGTAAAGGGCACGAAGTAACTGGATATCGGTTGTCTCCGTTTAACATCGCAGTGCTAACGACAAGAAGACTGAGTAGAGTTTTCGAAAGGCAAGTTTCTGTACCTGCGGGGGAAATCTGGCTTCGGAAATAAACACACTTTGCGGAAAGCTCGTGTTACGCTTTTATTTGCTGCCCCTCTCGTCCCGTACAAAAGGCGTAGCGTCCTCGTTTAGCCCTACTGAGCTCGACTTGCTCGATTCAGGGCCGCCATAGTGAGATGCAGGCGACGGAGGAACTATTTTCTTCCCTGTTTCAAGGACGAATGTTTCTCCCTTTCTAAAGGCACATAGGTTAGAAGACCGTTCCTTCCCTTAGGGAGGGCTATCGATACCCTTTTTTCTAAGAGTGAACTTCTCGTTACGAATCCACCTTGGAGGAGCGCAAAGACTCTTTGCGTACGCTCGTTATTCCCGAGAAATAGCGCACGCAAAAATAGCGCACGCAAAGCGCAAAACGTGGTTAGCGTTCGGCGCATGCGCAGTGGCGGCGACGCTATTCTTTGCTTACGCAAAGATTAAGCGTGCGCTATTCTAAAACTCGCTACTGACTAACCCGCCCGATATTGCAGCTACAACGACATATTCGTTTCAAAGCGAACGGTGCTCACTCAGTGGGGCACCGCCATGTTTCCCCCGAGCCAGTCACATGATTTCAAAATCTCTCTCCTACGTACTGCGGCTAACTTTTGCACCGTTAGCGCTTCGAGCAAACGGGCCCAGATAACCTATAGTTATATATTGTCCTTGTAAGTAATTTTTCATTTTAGGGCGCACCCCTTAGGCGCCTGTTTCCGGCTTGAGCGGCGTCGGCGTCGGCATAACCGCGCGGTGCATTATGGGTAAATTTCTCCGCTAAATTTAGCGGAAAAAATTCCCCGCTAAATTTAGCGTAATTTTTTTTTCTAAACGGGAGGCGAGCAGTACAGGAGGACGACCATGGCCTCCTCTTCTCTCCTGCTCCTCCTCCTCCTCAAGAGCTGCGCTCTAATTCGGCGTTACAGGGAGTCGTAAACGTCTTTCATTTTATTTAATCAATTTCTTCATGTCCGGACTGCTTCGTGACACACCTTGAATATCCCTGCGTTAAGTGCGCTTGAAACTGGGCTTGAAGGGCCTTCAGAACAAACTCATAAAAGAATCAGCGAAGCTGTTCGGAATCTCCACTCAGCGCGTGCCCATTAGAGTGCACTGGTTCGCCGACTTCCTAAAAGAGTTAAATCGGAGAGCCTTTTGCAACATTCCCAAGAAGAAGGGGTACACTGTAATATAATGCATTATACCCTTCTTTCTTGGGAGTACCTATAAATACTCCCAAGAGTGTATCCGTTCAGATGGGAGAAAAATTTGTCGACACGTGGTGAATTCTTTGTTCAAACCAGTGATCTATTCACTCGAAGTTTATTGCTAAGCCCTTATGGTCGTGCAAAAAATAACTACATTATTTCCCCCAAAAAATAAAAAATAAAGAGCACGGTGAATAAAACAAGTTCTTAAAATATTAAACATGTACAACAATATTTACAAACTAATAACACACAAAGGAATTACTCCGTTGAAGTTGAACTGTTGTCCACGTTCATATCCTCGGCCTCTTGTTGTCAAATAATAGTGCAATTCAAATTGGCGCAAAAGTAACTTTCGTTCTCTTTTGAAAGTAACCGTAACGGTATATCGTTACGTTCTTAGGACGGTGACGAATCTCAGTAACCCGGCAAGTTTAGTCGATCTAACGAGTGGCGCTATTTTGTTAATATGTTCTGTAAGGGTACACCAGTGCTTGGGTCCCACAGGTGCCAGAAAGCCCAAAACTCAATATCATTGCACGGCCCCTTGAAGCTGACAGTGCGGTAGGAGCTACGCGTTTGCCGGACCAGACAACCGCCTCCCTTTTAGCGTTTGACCACGCCCTCTTCGTGGATATGGCTGGGTGCGCGGGCATGCTTCGAAACATCGACGGATGAGTGGTCCAACAGGCTTGCAGCTTCTACCACTATGCCGACTTTGGCCCTTTGCACCTGCCATCAAAGAACAACTATTAGCGTTCAGTAAAATTGGGTAAATAATTTTGAATGAATAAATTGCTAATTATTGATTTTAAAGGAATGGTTTCAAATAGAATCTTGTTGAGCATCAGCGAAAAATATTAAAAACAACCACGCTACAATGGTATGAGGCACGCGCAGCATTTTACGGCGTTCCGAAGAAATGCTCAATTTCGACGCGTGCCTTGGTTTCCGTTTCTTATCGGAGCGCATCTCCTCGCGGGCAATCCCGCTCCCCGTGTCTAAGACAGGCAACTTGTCAAAGACGGGCAACGCATCGCACGTAGAGAAGTCTACATAAGAAAGCCTCTTCCGGACTGTCACATAAGGTCTGCCTTTCTGAGATCGGTGCCAGAGTGAAGACGCATCTTCACGTGCAATGCGTGCCGCGCAAGCACGTTGCACGTTAGACACGGGAGGCGAGATGGACAACGCGGAGATGCTCTCCCATAAGAAACCGAAAGCCAGATACGTGTCCAAATTGAGCATTTTTTTCGAAACGCCGTAAAATGCTGGGCGTGTCTCATGTATACCATTATAGCGTGGGTGTATTTAGTAGTTCTCGATGATGCCGACTAAAATTATAATTGAAACCATGCCTTTAAAACTATTATTTAACAATTTAAGTACTCGGAATTTATTAAATATCCCATTATATTGACCTCTAACAATTTTCCTTTGACACAGTCCACTACGGCATCAACCTTTTCTCTGTGCGATGCTTAGTGTTTGCAGGAGCGATTTTGCCCGTTTTTCCGGAAGCAGCCTGTATATATGTCAAAACAAATATTTTATATGCTTGGGAACAGGACTCAACCTCCACGAATTCTGGCGCATGAGGCAATAGTCACAACCGCTGTACAGTCAGCGCAGATTAAGACATATTTAAATGGAATATGCAAATGCAGTTGTTAGATACATGAATATACACAATGGAGTCAATTATGCCTTTAGTACAACAAATGTATATGATCTGTCTACTACAAGAGGAATCTCGAATATTTAAAATCCTGACAAATTCAATATTGAAATATTCAAGATTGCTGCTATTGAAAGACCTTAGTTATTTTATAAGTTCGTCTATTTATGGTCATGAGTAGGCCGATTTGTAAGGAACATATGTGACCCTACAGACAACCCAGAGGCTCCAGGTGCAGCACGTGATTAATGACTCTAAATTAATAAAAAAAGATAAGGCTTCAAGTATTTTCTTTTTTTTTCGTGTTTCTGTGTTTACGTATCTGTGTTTACGCGATAAGTAAGAGGCTGAAAGATTTTGAACCATGCGAAAAAACACATTGCTCGCAAGTAGAACCCCTGCAGGTCTATCGCCAAGCCAAATGAACGCACGTCGGTGCTCGAGTATTTCTTTTAAATTCCCTCTACAACTATCACGCACCGTCAGGGTTCTGATCACTTCCGATGTGTCTTCCGATGACTGCGTAAATTGGTATCAGCCGCAAACGCTCTACCGCAGGTCTCGCACTTGAACGGCTTCTCTCCTGTGTGAGTGCTCTCATGACCCATCAAACTGCGTTTCTGTTTAAACGCCCGGCTGCACGTGTTGCACCTGTACGGCTTCTCTCCGGTGTGAGTCCTCATATGAATCGTCAAATCGGATTTCTGAGTAAACGCCCTGCTGCACGTGCTGCACTTGAACGGCTTCTCTCCTGTGTGAGTCCTCTCATGACCCATCAAACTGCGTTTCTGTTTAAACGCCCGGCTGCACGTGTTGCACCTGTACGGCTTCTCTCCGGTGTGAGTCCTCACATGAATCGTCAAATCGGATTTCTGAGTAAACGCCCTGCTGCACGTGCTGCACTTGAACGGCTTCTCTCCGGTGTGAATTCTAACGTGACCTATCAAGTGAGACTTCCGCGAAAACGTTTTCTCGCAGTCACCGCAACTGAAGGGCCTCTCGCCAGTGTGAGTCCTCTCGTGAATGGCGACAGCCGTTGCGGAAGGGCATGAGTGAGGACAGAAGCGGCACGGGTGCTTGCTCGGTCGTCGGTGCATCTGCTGCTTGTCGGGGTCCGACCAGTTGGTCTGGGGAGAGGTGTCACCCCTGCGGCTGTCACGGTCAAAGGTATCCACTTTGTCGTCATAGCATGCTCCGATCCAGTCTGTTGGGATGACACGACAAAGCAAGAAAGGTCGGCGCGGTTATTACACTCTGCCGTTGCCGCCTAAGGTAGGTAATCATTCACTTGGGACGTTAAGAAGGTTCAATCGCGATGCTTGTAAAGGTCTACAGGCGATCGTTAAGAACTCGACTGTGGCAGCCCCATGGTGCCGCAGCTGTGGTGGCTTGCGTGTTCTGCTAACCAAGTGCGAAATGGAAGTGAAGCCGCCACGGCCGCTGCTGCCCAGTGTTAGCGGTAACCAGTGGCGTACGCAGGATTTCATTTCGCGGGGGGCCGGACCAACGACAGTAAAGGGGGACAAGATAAAAAGAAAAGAAGGTTCAAGAGAAAATAAAAGCATGTTCATTTTTTTTCTAATAACTAGGCATTCTTCTATTAAGTAATTAAAATAAAGTTGTCATATTGGTTTTGGGATGATTATGATACATAAAAATGATGCCCCGGAAATTCTTCACCAGGAAGCATTTGCATTTTACTTTTTTAATTTACAAGTCACGTCAAAAGAAGGCACCAGAGTAAGCAGAAAACAAGAATCATAAAAACAAATATTTTATGAAGCACGACTCCAATGCATAAAGCCTCCAGTCGTCGGGGCTGATAAAACAATGATGCATAAGTAGAAACGCGGAACATCTTGGTGAATAGACGATAAGCACTGGAAAGCTGCTCCGCCATAAAGTACTCCCTATCTTAACCTGATCTAACCAACAAAAATCTCGCGTGATTTGTTCGTTGGTGTCGATTTCTAAGGTTTCCAAAGACCATTCACAAAAGAAAGTCAAGGAAGTCACACAACGCAACAAAGGGACGATGTAAAATGGTTTACAGATTCATATATTGCACTTGGCTCTCGCCCTGAGGCAGCAGGTCGCACACTCGCGAGTCGCGCCCCTATCTCGCGCGGTTCTCAAACTGCCGATGACAACTTCCGTACTCGAACCTTGAACCACAAATCCCGCGCCTTTAGGCGCCTATATTCACTTTTCTAAGATTTTTCCCGCCATCCGAGGAGCCAATCAGATATCACTCTTTTTAGACCAATGGGAGCCACGCGGTACAAAACAAACACATACAATACAAAATCCAATTAAGAAAGGACACGTCCATAGACCCCCGAAAACTCCTAAAAACCTTCGCCCTAACTGTAGTAGACCGTTAGCCGGACACCGCTTCAAGGAAAAACCCTTCGTCGGGTTGCAAGAGCAATGCCGACGCTTCTCAAAATAAAAAAAAAAGGCTACCAAACATCGAGGGGCCCCGCTGCGCTCGAGCGGGCACAGCGCATGGTACGCACCCAGAGCTGGGTCCTCGAGGAACAATTAAAGGGCAACTCCGGCCAAAACTCAAAATGAAATAAATTACTGGTATCGATGTAGTGACACAAAATACGACCCCAGCCAAAATATCACGTCCGTCGGACGCCGCATTTTCAACTAATGCCGATAATAAAAATGCGACCCGCCGCGAGCCCCTGCTCCATAGCGGGCGGCCAGCGGGTTGCCGATCGCTAAAGCAACATTGGGCCGTGACGTCCGTATCGTTCTCTTTTTTTCCTCCGGTCCGGGCGTTGCGCGGAGTGCGCTTCTTTGAGCCGCTACCACCGCTACTTCGGCTCGTGATTGGCTTGTTTAGTCGTTGCTTTTGAAGTGGCCAAGGTGGCCCTTCATTTATTTACAGGATATATTTACAGACACCGTCCGGACCGGGAACCAGCCAGCTGAAGGTGTAGCCGTCGAAACCTCTCTCGAGCCACCTGCCCGAGTGATATCTCGTGGAGCTTTTTTCTCTTTTTCTTTCACCCGCGCACTGGTGCGCGTCTTTGCGTGTGGCTCGCTTTCTGTGAGCCACATCGCCATCGCGGACCCCTAGTTGCTACAAGTCTTCTCCCCCTAGTGGAGCAGTAGAGTTTTGCTCCACGAAACAGTTTTTTGTTTGTTGGAGGGTTCTTGATCAGGCCTGTGAGTGTTGTCTGGCGGCTTCTGCAAGGTGACTGATGAAAACACGCATGCAGTGTCGCAAATTGAGGCTGCCATAAAAGCAGGTTTTACCCGGTCAATGGACACGACGTCGGTTCGTCCGTTGATGATGATGGTGAAAGTCTTCTTGTCTCGGGCGATGACTTTAAATGGGCCGTCGTAGGGTGGTGTTAATGAGGGACGCACAGAGTCACGACGTAGAAACACATGTGTACATGTTGTTAGTTCTGTGTGAATGAAAATTTACCGTCGTGTTTGTTGTCGAGGCAAGGTCGGTCGCAAATAGGATAGCAGGTCTCGTAGATCTTGAAGATACGAAGGAACGTCGGGTGGTGGAGTGGACAGGCGTGTAAGGAACTCGCCAGGAAGTCGCAGTGTTGTTCCAAACACTAGTTCAGCAGCTCTACATCCAACATCTTCCTTCAAAGTGGCCCGGATGCCCAAGAGCACCAAAGGAAGATGGTTCACCCAGTTGGTCCTGTCGTCCTTTGTGATGAGCGAGGCCTTGAGTTGCCGGTGTAGTCTCTCGACCATGCCGTTGGCGGACGGATGGTAGGCTGTCGTGTGGATGTGGCACATTCCAAGCATTTTCGCCAGGGATGCGAAGAATGAACTTTGAAATTGCCTACCACGGTCCGTGGTGACGATAGAAGGGCAGCCGTACCGCGCAATCCAGTTGGTGATGAACGCTTGTGCCACGGTTTGCGCGGTGATGTCCGTAATTGGAATCGCTTCTGGCCATCTGGTAAAGCGATCCACGCATGTAAGGATATATCGGCACCCTTGGGATGGTGGGAGGGGTCCGACTATATCGACATGCACGTGGTCGAAGCGGGCGTCTGGTGGTTTGAAAATATGCAGCGGGCTCTTTGTATGACGCTGAATCTTGGAGCGTTGGCAAGAGGTGCAAGACCGCGTCCAGAGGCGAATGTCTCGGTTGATCTTGGGCCAGACATATCTCGAGCAGATCAGTCGTTGGGTTGCACGAATACCAGGATGGTTCAGGTCATGGAGGGAGTGAAAGGTGGGGCGTCGAAAAACGGGCGGGGTGTACGGTCGGGGCGTACCCGTTGAGGTGTCGCATATCACATCGCAGTTTGCAAGTGGTAGAGGTACAGGTCGAAGCTGCAGTGAGGTGGAGGACTCTTGGAGTCTCTGCAGCTCGTCGTCATTCTTTTGGGCTGTTGCCAGTTTGGAGAAGTCGAGGTCAGGTGACGCACTGAGTGTCTCGACGCGTGACAGGGCGTCTGCCGCCTCATTGTTCGCTCCAGATACGTGGCGCAGATCAGTTGTATAATCTGAAATATAAGCAAGGTGACGAATCTCTCGGGTCGAATACGAGGTTCGATTATCGTGGAAGGCGAAGGTGAGGGGCTTGTGGTCTGTAAGGACGTGGAAAACCCGGCCTTCCAGGAAGTGTCTATAATGCCGTATTGCTGCATAGATGGCAAAGAGTTCGCGACCAAACGTGCTGTAACGTGTCTCCGCCGGCTTCAACTTCTGTGAGAAGAAGCCTAGCGGAAACCAGTCCGTCTGGTTGTACTGTTGTAGCACGGCTCCCACTGCGACATCCGAAGCCTCGACCATAAGTCTCGTGGGTGCGTCTGGTCGTGGGTAAACGAGAAGTGCCGTGTCGACAAGAGCTTGCTTTGCAGTCTTGAACGACTCCTCTGCCATCGAATTCCATTCGACCGGTGATGTGGGACCTTTTGGTGAGCGCAGCAGATCTGTTAAGGGTTTGAGAATTTGGGCGCAGTTGTTAATGAAGCGTCGATGGAAGTTGACGAGGCCCAAGAATTCTCGCAACTTACGAAATGACTTGGGTTGCAAAAAGTCCTTGATGGCTTCCACTTTCGAAGGTAACGGGTGAATGCCTTCGGGTGTCACTCGGTGTTCTAAGAACTCGAGGTTGGACGTGCCGAAGACACATTTTGCTGCGTTGACGACGAGACCATAGTTGCGTAGCTGCCCGAAGAGTAAGCGCAGATGTTGTTCGTGCTCTTCCGGGGAACTGCTCGCGATGAGGAGGTCGTTAACGTATGCAAACACGAAGGGTAGCCCGCGTGTCACTTCGTGTATAAATCTTTGAAATGTTTGTGCTGAATTTCGAAGCCCGAAGGGCATTCGCACAAACTCGAATAACCCGAACGGCGTGGTGACAGCAGTTTTCGGAATGTCAGCTGGCTCGATAGGTATGTGGTGGTAAGTTTTACTAAGTCCACCTTGCTGTAAATGGAGGTCCCGTTGAGTTGCTCTGTGAAGTCATGCAGGTGTGGTAGAGGGTAACGATCTGGCAACGTGTTGGCGTTGAGGGCGCGATAATCGCCGCATGGACTCCATTCTCCTGGCTCCTTCTTGGGCACCATGTGTAGAGGTGATGCCCAGCAGCTGTTCGACGGCCGAATGATTCGGAGCTCGAGCATGTGCTCGAATTCCCGTCGAGCAGTTTGGAGTCGTTCACCGGAGAGGCGACGAGGTCGTGCGTATGCAGCCGGACCAGAGGTGACGATGGTGTGAGTTACACCATGCTTCGTCGGTTGTGCCATGTTGGAAGGTCTTGTGACTTCAGGAAACTTGGTAAGTATAGATGCGAATCCCGTAGATGGTACGATTTGACGTATGCCAAGGGATGAAACGGTTGCAGACATACCATTTACAGCCAGGCGTGTCATACCGTCGAGAAGACGACGGTGGCGCATGCTGACATCTAAGTTAAAGTTGGACAAAAAGTCAGATCCTAAGATGGGACACTTGACGTCAGCGATGATGAAGAGCCACCTGAAAATTCGGCGTAGTCCTAGATCGAGAGTCATTGATCGCATACCGAAGGTGGGTATGGTGGATCCATTTGCTGCGATTAGGTTTCTGCCTTTATCCAGGTGTCTTCTCTCTGCTGTTGTGGGTGGGATGACAGACACTTCGGCGCCGGTGTCGACAAGAAGTCTGCAGCCGGTGAACCGATCAGCAATGTGGAAAAGGTGGCATGCTGGTCGGCCGGAATCA